GGGAAAGAGTGAAATTTCTACTTTTATATCTAAAGAATTTTGTTCTTGACATTCTTTTGTTTGTTGGAATGAAGAAGTAGAAAATTGAATTCTTTTTAATTTATTTTTTTTTCAAATTAATATTTAGGATGTTTTAGATTGTCTTTGATATAAAAAAAAAATTTAAATAAATATTATTTTAATATATTTTCAATGAAAAAATATTTTGAAAACAACCACAATACTGATTGTAAAGGAACCACAATACGGATTGTAAAGGTACTGGGAATTATGAATTTGTATGTGTGAATCATGAATTTGTATGTGTTTGATATGGTGTTTCAAAAAGTGTTTTTAAAAAAAATTAATATTTTTTTTGAATTAATATATTTTTGATATTTTTAAATCATTTTAATGTAATGATTTTAAAAATAATTTTTTTAAAATAAAAAAAATATTATTGATGTACTTTTCTAGTTTTCATTTAGAAAACTAATTGCAACCATATTTTCAAATACGCACTCAAAGTTTACTTTATTGCTTTCTAGGACATGTTTTTCTTGGACTGAATGCAGGTGATTAAAAATGGAGGAAATGTATTGGTATTATGTGGAAATCCTTTGAAACAAGACTTTTTTTGAAATATACCAGGAATATTGAAGAAAAAATGGTAAAACTGGCTGTTAGTTCTGAATTGCAATGGATTCAATTCAGCAGGAATATGGAAGAAAAAAACTGTAGTGTTAAATTTTTGTATCTGCTAAATTTAGTAAGGCTTGTTTTAGGGTTCAGGAGGAAAATTTTGTAAGTTGAATTTTTTTTTTGTTAATTAATTTCAGGGGCGGTGCTATCCAATTTATGGGCACAAAACGCCACCATGACAAGTGGCTAAGAGACACTGAGACTTTTGCAATCAAAGGTTGCTTTTCTATGACTGAGTTGGGGCATGGAAGTAATGTATGTGAAGGCTGCCGATTTTTGTGTGTGTCTTTTTTACGGTTTCTATGTGGTTACTTGTGCTCTATGGTGTACATTTGACCTCTTTCCTTGTTTGATGTTTTTAGGTTAGAGGAATTGAAACAGTCACAACTTATGATTCGAAGACGGGAGAGTTTGTAATCAATACCCCATGTGAATCAGCTCAGAAGTATTGGATAGGAGGGGCTGCTAATGTAAGGGTTTTGCCTGAACACATGTTTTTGTTAATGCCATTCTTTGTTTCATTCTCCCATATGCAATTTTGTCTAAGTTGACACAATTTTACTGGTATTCAGCATGCAACACACACTATAGTCTTTTCTCAGCTCAACATAAATGGGGTGAATGAAGGGGTCCACGCTCTTATAGCCCAGATCAGGGATGTAAATGGAAACATATGCCCAAACATCCGTATAGCTGATTGTGGCCACAAAATTGGTTTGAACGGTGTTGATAATGGTCGAATCTGGTATTAATCACACTTTTCTTTTCTTGTCAATTACTGTTTTATTAGCACATGATGAATGCAATGATGATTTTGGGGACTTGTTTTCAGGTTTGACAATGTGCGAATCCCCAGAGAGAACTTGTTGAATTCGGTTGCTGATGTTTCACCAGATGGTCAATATCTGAGTGCAATAAAAGACCAAGACCAAGTAATTATTTCATGCTTCTTTCATGTTCTTTAATTGTCGAGCAAACAATTAAGTCAATTGGCACGTGTTTTTTTCCAGAGGTTTGCAGCATTCTTGGCCCCATTGACATCTGGTCGTGTAACTATTGCTACAAGTGCAATTTACTCTGCAAAGGTATTGAATCATGGCAGTTTTCATTATATTTAGAGAATCATTTACTGAAGGCTACAAAATTTTCTGTAAGGGTGATTGTTTACTGCTAATGCATATTCCTCTTTAAGGTATAGGATTACGCACCAGCTCTACTAGCCATATTGGATTGGGCTACTTCAAAACAGTTCTGCGGTTCAATATTGGGAACTACATAACTCTTTTATTTAGATAATTACTTTGAGAAAAGTGGATGATGCACTTTTAGTAAGCCTATTTGCTCATCAAAGGAATTGGATTAAGGTTGTGAATTAAATAATAAAGATGACAATGAAGATGAGTTCTAAGTCATGCATTCAAAGGATTTAATTATCTGATCAGAAAGAGTAATTTTCATCCTACTCATTAAAGCTTTGCGTTCATGGTGTATTTTATTTAAACCATGCCTTCATAACTGGCTGCTTGATTTTCCATTAATATGGATGTCATTCTTCTCTTGTCAGATTGGTTTGGCAATTGCCATTAGGTATGCCTTGAGCAGGCGGGCATTTTCTATTACTCCTAATGGACCTGAAGTCCTTTTGCTTGATTACCCAAGTCATCAACGCCGACTCTTGCCTCTTCTTGCTAAGTCGTAAGTATCTAAGTAGTCGCTATGCACTCATACTGAAATTTGTAATGTATTAACTCTTTTGGGATGTCAAATTGTGCTTCATACACGCAATTTCATAGCAGTAAGATCCATGGTAATAGTGAAGTTTCAATTGTTCTGAAGTTTATTGCTTGCATCTGAGGAATTTTACAATTTGCTCAAGCCCTAGTTTGACATCAGTCATCTGCCTGTGCAATGTGCAATAATTGTGTTTATTCATTAATTCACTCTCATAGAGCCATTGTCATTTATTGCCGAGTCTGGCCTTTTCCTTTTTCTTGAATTCCATAAAAAAGATTATTGTTCTGTTTTTATGTGGAATGTTGATACGATGATTGGGATCTTGCAGACTATGATCTGGAAAAATCAGAAAATGTATCCAATTGTTGTCTTTTATCAAAAAACCATTTTTATTGTGCAAAAAAATCATATCTTAAATTCCAGCATTACTTCTGTGAATAGTAGAGGCTCCAGTTGTAATGAATCCTCCAATGCCCTTGGCAATGCTAGTTCTGTAAACTGGTCATGCAACTTGGTTTTGGAACTTCTTCTGCGTCGCAGCTGCTTATTGCTTGTAATTTAAAAAAATAAAACTCTCATTCTGACTTATTTCTTTTCTCTTCCCCCTGGAATGAACCCTTGTCATGCAGGTATGCTATGAGTTTTGGTGGAAATTACTTGAAAATGATGTACGTGAACAGAACCCCTGAATCAGCCAAAACTCTTCATGTTGTTTCAAGTGCATTCAAGGCTATCTTCACGTGGCATAACATGAGAACCCTCCAGGTGAGGAGCTAGAACTGCATATGAAATATAGGTTTATGGTAAAAAGCCTTGCTGAATTTCATTGTATTCATGTTCATTAGGAATGCCGTGAG